TCCTTTGCCTTCTATTCGAACTTTGGAGCCATCCCCAAACCTAACATATCCTTTTATGGTCTTATCGATTTCATGAAATACTTCTCCTGTCATATGATTTCTAGCTCCATTGTCTAAGTACCACACCTTAGATTTTCTTGTTTCATTCCTTTCTGATCTTAGCTTTGGCGTGACTTTTTCCTCATTAAGAAACACCTCCTGGAACACCTTTTCAGAGTTGTATGCAGACAACAACAAAGCTGGTTCATCATCATTTGGTACTTGTGTTAAGTTGGCCTCTTGATTCCTTTCACGACATGGATTTTTGCATTGGTAAGCGTAGTGCCCAAAGTCTTGACAGTTGTAACATTGTATCTTCTCTTTGTCACTATTGTTTAATGATCCACATCCTCCTTCTCTGTTGTGATGAGCACCACCACCACGTCGCCCACCACGACCAGCCCAGGTACCACTCCTCCGAATACCTCTCCCTCGGCGGCCACGGGAACTGCTATTGGGTTGGTTATCTCGCTAGGATGACTTCTAATCTTCATCTCTTTTCTTCTTTGTTCTATCAGACCACTCCTGATGGGTCAACATAAGTTTTCCTTCTGTGTTTTTTGGTATGCCGGTTGTTCCCTGTTACCCGTTCTTCATGAGCCTTTAATCTTCCAATTACTTCTTCAATAGACATTTTGTCTAAATCAGTGAATTGTTCAATAGTAGAAGCTATTTGAACAAACTTGGACGGTACAACACAGAGTAACTTCTTTACCACATAATCTTCTTCTACAGTGTCACCCAAAGCTCTTATGTTACTTACTACATTGTTTACTTTCACAGCAAACGCATCAATCGTCTCTGCTTCTTTCATGCTTAACAGTTCAAACTCCGCCTTTAGGGTTTGGACTCTCGCAGTCTTCACCCTATCTGCTCCTATGAACATAGTCTTGAGTGTTGTCCATGCCTCCTTATCCGTTTGCTTCACTGCCAACGACAATAACAAATCTTCTGGTATGCCTTGATAAATGGCCGCCAATGCCATCTTATCCTTCTTCACTTCGACAACCGTATTGGGGGTGCAGGGGTTCAACATGCATCTTTATTGCCTACGCAGTGTAATTGCTTCTTGAGAGCATGGGGTAGTGCAACGTGATGGGTCCGTCTTTCTCATTCCTTTCATTTCTGTCTCCCATGTTGAGTGTACGAGGTTGGTATTTGGGCATACACCAGGTTAGGCTTTGATACCAAAATATTGTCTTTTGCACAAAAAGGTATGGGCTTTATTCAAAGGGTAATCATAGAGAACAAGAAGGGCATGTGCAGGTGGGACAAAATCTGCTCACTGCAGAATTGAAAAAGACAGAGTGGGGCAAATTTTCTAATTCTTCATACGAATGCTTGACTGGAAATCGACTACATATAAAAAGGAAAATAAGGAAATTCTTCCTAAACTAATGGGGCAACTAACCCACTTCTTGATTACACCTAAAGAAAAGGAAATATGGCCAACATGGCCTTTTGAAAGTGTCAAGCCACTAAATAAACATAAATTTCCCAATATACCCTCTGGATTAAACCAACATCTGCTGATTTAACTTGATGGCCTGATTTCCAACATTTGGTATCAGAGCCTAGGGCTCATTTAGAAGAATCAGTTTTGAGAGTCGGTGGCAAGAGAGGAGGAGCAGCCCTTGGCTGCAGGGCTGAGAACAAAAGAAGAGGACAGTGGGGTGATCTCATGTTAATCACATGAAAAATTGAAGATTGGTTGCTCTAGCAGTGAAGGCTGCTAGAAAGAAAGAAAGAGAAAATTAAGAAGAAAAAAGAAAGAAGAAATGAGAAAGAAGAAATACAGAAAGAAGAGGCAGGTTGCTTGCTTACCTGAGAAAGATAAGGAAAAAAACAAGCAACAAGGTGAGTGATCACATTTTTGGTGATCAGAAGAAAGAAGCAACAAGGAGTAGAAGTATGTTCTATGTTAGAAAGCAAGAATTAGGAAAAGAAAGTAGTCTGTAGCAAGTAGCAGGAAAGAAAGAAAGCAAGAATGAAAGATAAGCAGCAAGGCATATCATGTTTTATTAATCAGAAGAAAGATGCAACAGCAAAATTTTGTTGTTTGTTAGCAGGTAAGAAAGAAGAAGCAAGCATCAAGTGATTAGAAAGCAAGAGAGGGCCGGTTGAAAGCAAGAAAAGCAAGATAGCAAGCAAGAGGTTTGTAGCAAGTAGCAAACAAGAAGTCTGTAGCAAGTAGCAGCAAAATCATAACAAGTGGGAGTAAAAAAAACATAAGCAAAAAAGGAAGAAAGGAAGTAGCAAGATGAAGCAAGCAGAAGGTGAAGCAATCAGTAAGGTTGATCACATTTTGTCAATGAAAGGGGCATGAGACACAAAGAAGTCTGAGCAAGATTAAAGCAAAAGAAGCCAGATCAAGATCATCAAGATTAGGGGGTGAATGTTGGGTAATCTTGATTAAATTGGGTTGTCACGTTTTTAGTTTTTGAATAATATAGAACTGGGTAAAGGCTATCACCGAATTTTAAGAGGTAATTGGGTAGAAGGGTTCATCCATTCACCTAGTCTTTAGGAAGAATTAGTATTTTATTGCATGAATATATGAACATAAAGAGTGTTTGTGTTACTTTCTTTCCCATTGTATTTACCATATTCTTTATCAAACCAAAACACGAACATATTGGTGAGTGTCTACTGGTTTAACTTGAGGGCCTGGTTTCCAACATTTTCACCTCTACTCTTTTGGTCAGAGTGAAAGGAGTTGCTTGTTGTATGTAGGTCTTGAACAAAAAAAACATGAGGGTTGGTTAAATTTCGATGGTTGTAGGTTAAATGTGGACTCGCATACATGCTTGACTCCTTTAATAAACAAGGTGCACATGGTGTTACTGGGTTGTTTGATTTTTTTAATTGACTAACACTACAACCACAAGAGAATTAACGAGCTATGTTAGGAACACAAAAGTCTCAATCAACTTGTGCATGGGAGATATTTATTGGTTTAAGTCGTTGTCAACAATAATATAGCAAAATAATTTGTTTTTGGGTTTTTCTGTGCAATTCGCTTAAAAGTCAAAAGGTAAAGCAATCATAGAAAAGTAAAGATAGATGATTTTGACATAAGCTTTCTTACATGGCTGATGTCTCTTTGCTCCTCATGCAAGAAATCAAAAGGTGATTTATTGTCGATTGTAAGGTAATTTTCAAAGGAATTTTGTATGTACTTGAAGCTCATGGGTCTCGTCCAAACAAAATGAAGAAAAATTCACAAGAGTACAAGACTGAAAATCTCAGAATAACAGAAAACAGAAGGTTGCAAGAAAAGTTAAGGTATAATGGTCTACAACTACAAGATGCATTGTTGTCGTAATCCATGTTGGCATTATCAGTCAATGGTATTTTTGTTAACTTGGCACTAGGAATGTTTACATGGGTGTTTCTCTTTATTCTCTAAAATCAAGAATTAAAGCAAAAGTGTATACTCGTCACAAGACAATGAGAACGGTTCTTGTTACCAATAATGTTGCAGAGGTATCTGAACTTCTCCAGTTTTTCTTACTGTGAAATTTATATGTATAATGAGAAGTCAAGATGTATGGATACAAGTGGGTCTTAATCAATGTTTTAAAACCCGGGTCGACCCGGCCGGTTCAACCGATTGGACCGTGACCCGGGGTAGAAAGCGGGTCAATTGAAACCGGATTTTTGTAAAAATGCGAACCGGATCGAACCGGCCGGGTTTCCCCTAAACCGCGGTTCGACCGCTTATGTTAAACCGGTTAAACCGGGTTGACCCGTTTCAATAGAGTTTTGATAGTTGGATACAAGTAGCGAACGCCAAAACAACGAGCCGTTTGCAGTTTCTTCAATGTTTAACCTTTGTGGACATCAAATTATTAGTTTTATATGTTTATGCATTATGCATGAAAGTAAAAATATAGAGAAATAGAGAAAGACCATAAACCGGGTTGACCCGGCGGTTCAATCGGTTGAACCGGTTGACCCGTGAACCGATCATCACACCGGGTCAACTAAAAACCCGGGTTTTAAAACATTGGTCTTAATGGTAGTAAACATATTCTAGGATGCACATAGTAGGAGATTACTTATTCAAACAAGCATATATGTCCACTTCATCGATGTACTTTGCAAAAGATTACAAAAAGTGAAACATTAGGCTGGTGGGTATGGTGCCACACTTGCCACGGTCCACATCAGCAGCACCTAGGATTTGTCATACTCTCTTTAATTTTTACCAATAAATGATGTTGGTTGCCACACTTGACATGCCATTTTTTTTAAAAGTAATTAATATAAAAACTAAACATTTCAAATAAAAAAATAATATATATATATATATATATATATATATATATATATATATATATATATATATATATATATATATATATATATATATATATATATATATATATATATAGTATTTGTTTATTAAAAATAAAATTTTATTTAACGAGAATAATAATTATGATTTTTAAGTTAAGGATTAATTTTGTAATTTCACAAACTATTTTTATTGAAAGAGTTTAGGGAGGTATATTTTGTTAGTAGACTAAACCCTAGGGACCTTTTACGTCAAATTTTGAAAAACCTTTATCTTCTTCCTGAATTTGGACGAGTTTTTTCCATTTCTTCCATTTTTGTTGTTTCTTCCATTTTTTCACTGCAACCCTGTAATAAAAAACTAATCCCTTCTTTCTCTCTATTCTTCCCAAACCTTAGACTCTCTCTCTCTCTCATCGGCACACTTCCACTGTTATGAAATATCAATTAATTTTACAACAATGATAAATTAGAAATGATGAAAAAGATAATGCAAGACTCGATCTATTAGAACTTTATTTCGTTGACACAAAAGTTATTTGTCTTCTACAACTCCCTACATATACTTGAAATTGTAACTCAGATAGTAACGAGAGTAGCACAGAAGTCTTTGCTTGTGTTATTGTATACGATCTATTAGATTACCCAAATAAGACTAAAAACTACTTGCCAATAATGAGTTTTGCTATTTCTTGGCCTTCAGTAATTGGGAATTGATCACTCAAACGAAAATGAGCCATCAACAACCAAACGATGGTAATGAGCTCCCCACCTTTGCTCACTTGGTCTGCTAGAGTATTGGCTGGTGAATGATTTGCACCATAATACATTTCCACCCATACCTTGCTTATAATCACCCATTTATTCTTACTAATGTCGATCTCTTCTATCTTCATCAAATCTTTGGCCAAACTGCTAGCATCAAAGAGCAATGACTTGCTCTGGTCACCCCTTCCGATCACCTGTGGCATTTCCGGGGATATTTCAAGAATCTTCATGCAAGCATTTATCTGCTCCCAATCCACTACATCCATATTCCAATATCGTTGAGTTTGATTTTGCTCTTGTTTTACTTCACGACCTTTCCCACTATCCAAAAGCATCATGGCCTCAACACAAGTATCTCGGAACCGCATTTTTCCAATACCTACAACTGCTACTGGCATCAAGCTTGGTCGCATGATAAGAAGATACAACATGCATGTAATCTGATAATACTTTTGCAATATCGCGAAAATCATTTCTTGCACCTATGGATTCCTTTTTAAGTTCTTTGTTGTAGCATAACTCTGTGGCGATGTGCCATATAATGATACTTTGATCGTAGTCAACATTTATAACATATCTAAGTAAGGTACCCCAACCTTCTTCTATACTGATCACCCAATCGCCTCGTGCTGAACTTATCGCCTTGGCAGTTTCCAAGTCATCTGCGAATTCTGATTTTGCTTTTATTTCCTCGAAGATGAAGTCTCTTAGTTGGTTGGTGAACTTCTGGGATTTTACATACCGGAACCCGTCCATAAAGCCAATAAGCCCCAGCTGATCCAAATAATAATTAACTAAGGCTGGACGTCGGTGTAAACAGTAATCGATTAGGTTGTATGTTGAAATGGATTCTGACCACCTTCGTCGTATACATTTAAGAGTTTGTGGTGCACTTGTTTTTGATTGAGCATGGTATGTTGTGTCCTGAAGGGTGCCCTCAGTCGTGAATCTGAGTAATGAACTGATGATTCGCGTTTTAAGAGACTTGTTGTCCAGCAGAGCAGTAGGAGATTTCCGTAAACCAATGATGGTCCATTTTGAAAACAAAAGCATGAGCAGAGCGATCATATCCAAAACCAAAGCACCAAACAACAAAGTATAAGTAATCGTCACATCACAGCTTCGAAATTTTGTTTTGTTTTCGAATATAAATAATAAGATTGCTGAACAAATCATTGCTAAAGATAAAAACCGGCGAGTCCTGCTGTAGAATATAGCAACCAACTTTTTGTGAAGAGAACATCATACATGAAATTTAACTCAGTCTCAACCACTTTGAAAGCGTCTTTTGGGGTCCGATACAGGAAGAAATTCCGACTTTGATTCTGTTGTATCTGAGTAATCAAAATCATATCCACAGTAAGCCCCTTAAATGTTTCAAACAATTGATAAGCATACTGCACGACCTCCATTTCTGACAAATTTCCTCTTTTAGTCCTACCGGCTGCATAATCTGGCTTGGGAACCATCACAATTCTAGCAGGTAGTTCGCCTTCTTCATTGAAATATATTCTTCTATGATTTTTGCATCTGCCGGCTCAGGATCAGGACATCTATAAATGTATTCTTTGAATATTTTGGAACTAGCAAGATAAAGAGAACTTGTTCTTTGTTGCAATAATTCAGAAGTCATTTTATTACTACACGTTTATTTCAGTTTAATAGCTCTGTTTTTGAATAAATCAAGGCCACATGGCTTAGTACCGGGTCTTGAGGTAGTAACAGATTAGTTCCTTATTTGTTGGCATTTTCTTTAGGTCAGTGGCATTTTGCTCGTTATAAATTGTAATCTCCTTTCAGTCATTAGTAGATGAATAATACGAAGCATTTTGCCTCACATACTCTGTTCTTTTCCACTTGATTCTGCCATTGTTAAAGCTTGTGAAAAGCTTACATCTGGTATCAGAGCGAATCTGGTAGTTTATGAAAATACAATCTCGTGAAGAGATGACGAATGGTAGCGGCAGTGGAAACGGTGAGAAAGAGGGTCAAGTTACACTCCATTATCCGATGCTGACAAGATCGAATTATGGTGCGTGGGCGATTAAGATGAGGGTCTTCATGCTGGCACAGGGTGTATGGGATGCAGTCGAACCCAGAACTGCAAATACTCTCGTTGAATCAAAGAAGGACAACATGGCGTTGGCAGCCATTTATCAGGGAATACCAGAAGACCTTCTAATGGTGCTAGCGGAGAAGAAGACGGCGAAAGAAGCATGGCAAGCTCTAAAAACAATGTTCGTGGGAGCAGATAGGGTGAAATCGGCTCGAATTCAAACGTTGAAGGCTGAATTTGAAGCGTTGACGATGAAAGAATCAGAAAGTGTGGACGATTTCGCAGGAAAAATCATAAACGTAGTAAGTACTATGCGAACATTGGGAGAGACGGTTGAAGAGTCCTATGTCGTGAAGAAATTACTTAGGGCGGTTTCAAGCAAATTCCTTCAAATTGCTTCGACTCTCGAGCAATTTGGTGATTTAGACGAGATGTCGGTGGAAGAGGTTATTGGCCGTCTAAAAGCCCATGAAGAGAGGATGAAAGGATTTGGTGAAACTGATGATCGAAGATTGCTTCTAACTCATCAAGAGTGGTCCGAAAAAAACAAGAAAAACAGAAATGGTGACTCAAAATCCAAATCGGTTCGAGGCGGATTTAACGGGTCACGAGGAAGAGGACGAGGACGCAGTAGAGGTGGTGGTCGTGGTGGTCGTGGCAGAGGTGAACATGGATCAAGCAACCTTGACAAAAGTAAAATACAATGTTACAATTGTCAAGAGTTTGGGAATTTTGCTGCTGAATGCAAGAACCCAAGGAAAGAAAGAAATCAAGAGAATAATCTGATTCAAGATGATGATGAACCAGCTTTACTACTCTCATTGTTTGAAGATAAGAAAGAAAGTGAAGAAGTCTATCTAAACGAAGAGAATGTGACACCAAAGCTGCGCTCAAAATGTGAAGAAAAGCTCCAGTCAAACATCTGGTACCTGGATACTGGTGCCAGTAATCATATGACTGGAGATAAGGGAAAGTTTCAAACTCTAAACGACATGGTGCAGGGATGGGTCAAATTTGGAAATGGGTCCAAAGTTAAAATTGAAGGCAAGGGGTCTATAGTTTTCAAATGTAAAAATGGAAAGCAAAGAAAACTGAAAGAGGTTTATTATATCCCTGATCTTTGCAGTAATATAATAAGCCTTGGACAGTTGGCTGAAGGTGGGGACGAGATAAAGCTGAAAGATTCTCACCTGTGGATTCGAGACAAAGCAGGATGCTTACTAATGAAGGTGCCAAGGTCCCAAAACCGTCTGTATAAAATCAGCCTAGAAGAAATCAATGCCTCGTGTATGGTTACTAAAGCCTTAGATTCCTCATGGTTATGGCACACACGACTTGGACATGTCAATTTTTGGACTCTAAAATTGATGTCAGACAAGAATCTCGTGGAAGGAATCGGAGAAATTTAGATTCCTTCACGACCTTGTGAAGGATGCTTGGTGGGAAAGCAAACAAGAAGCCCATTTCCTTCTAAAACTAGTTACAGAGCAACACGGAGACTGGAACTCATCCACGGTGATCTCTGTGGTCCTATCTCTCCACCAACACCATCAGGTAACAAGTATTTTCTCCTACTTATTGATGATTATAGCAAAGCACAGTGGGTGTATTTGCTAAAATCAAAAGATGAAGCCTTCGAGTCTTTTAAGAATTTCAAAGCTAAGGTTGAAATTGAGACAGGAGAAAAGATTCAAACGTTACGAACAGATCGGGGGGGGAGAATTTCTCTCACATGAGTTCTCGAAGTTCTGTGAAGAGATAGGCCTTCGCCGACATTATACAGCCCCATATTCCCCGCAGCAGAATGGGGTTGTCGAGCGAAGGAACCGAACAATTCTGGAGATGGTGCGAAGTAGCTTGAAAACTATGGATGTCCCGGAAGTTTTGTGGGGAGAAGCAGTGAGTCACTCTGTGTATGTGTTAAACAGAGTGACAACAAAAGCCTTGAAAGACTGCACACCCTATGAAATGTGGACGGGTAGGAAACCTCAAATGGGTCACTTGAAAGTGTTTGGGTGTGTGGGACATATGAAAGTGATGAAGGGGCACTTAAAGAAGCTGGAAGACAGAAGTAAGATGGTGGTATATCTCGGCACAGAAAAGGGGTCAAAAGCTCATCGGTTGCTAGACCCTGAAACAGGGAAATTGCTGGTGAGCCGAGATGTCATTTTCGAAGAAAATCGAAAGTGGGAATGGAACAAGTCGAGTACGATCAAATCCGTTCCAGGTATGGAGTTCTCAGTTGAAGGTTTTGACTTTGAAAATGGCGATCATGACGATGGGGTGGAATTTGATGGCGAGTGGGTACCGGATACTCCAGATCAAGAAAATGGGTCACAGCAAAATAATGATAATTGGGCTGAAACGCCTGAGCCCAATTCCCCTCACATGTCGGGTCCTAGCCCAAACCCGTCATATGATTCAAATAACCCTCAAACTCCAGCCACTACGCACAATTCTCCAATCAACTCCCAGAGTGAAGCTTCGAGTTCCACCGGAGGAGGAGCCCCGAAACGCTATCGTCTCATTTCAGAATTGCTCGAGAATACCGACGAAATTGAACTACCCCCCGAAGAACTGATGTTCATGAGCAATGACGACGAACCCTCAAGATATGTCGAGGCGAAACAAAAGGAAGAATGGTTACAGGCGATGAATGATGAAATTGCCTCAATTGAACGCAACAAAACCTGGAAATTGGTGGAACTCCCAAGAAACCGGAAACCAATAGGTTTAAAATGGGTATTCAAGGTGAAGCGTGATCCAACAGGCAAGATTGTCAAACACAAAGCGAGGATTGTTGCAAAAGGATATGTGCAGAAGTATGGGGTGGATTACGATGAAGTTTTCGCCCCTGTTGCTCGAATTGAAACTGTTCGAGTAATTCTGGGATTAGCGGGCACAAACGGATGGGGTGTACACCACTTAGACGTGAAGTCAGCATTTTTAAATGGGAAGCTAGAAGAAGAAGTATTCGTCACACAACCAGAAGGTTTTGAGAAAAAAGGAGAAGAAAAGAAGGTGTACAGGTTATCAAAAGCCCTCTATGGGTTGAAGCAAGCGCCCAGAGCGTGGAATTCGTGTTTAGATCGCTATCTAAAGAATCTGGGATTTCAAAGATGTCCTTTGGAATATTCTGTATACACGAGAAAGAAGAAAGGGGAGACTTTACTCGTCGGAGTCTATGTCGACGACTTGCTAGTGACTGGGAGTCGATTAGAAGACATAGAAGATTTCAAGAAAGAGATGAAGGCAAAGTTTGAGATGAGCGATCTTGGC